TCGTCAGGTAGCAGCAAAAAGCAATAATAATACACAAGAACATCTAACACAAACAGTATAATTATTATACTGTTCGTGTTAGATGTTATGTCTATATGAACGGATTGAGGAGTGCTGGTTTCGAAACAATTGGTCCGAAGCTCAAAGTAGAGCTGAGTGTGCCACGTAGAAAGACCTACAGGAGAGGAGTGACTCACCGTGCGTCCGCCAGAGTACTTGAAGCTGGTCTTCAAGTAGCTGGTGTAGATGATGGTCGGGTAGCCGCGCACGCCGTAGTCCTCGCACAGCTCCTTGCTCTTCTCGGCGGTGCAGTCCACGGCGGCCATTGCCACCTTGTTGCTGACTACGCGGTCGGCCGCAGCAGAGAACTCCGGCTTCGCATTCTTGCAGTGTCCGCACCACGGCGCGTAGAAGAAGACGAGCGCATGCTTCTTGCGCTTGAGCTCAGCGCGGAACTGCTCGCGGCCGTCGATGTGCGTCACCTTGTTCGTGACCTCGCTCCACTCGGGCTCTGGCGGCGGGGGTGGTGGTGGCTCCTTCGGGCTGCCAAACGCAAGACAAGGACACACACACACACACACACAGGAAAGTGAAACACAGTACAGAAGAGAGTCAAGCAAGGCAAGGACACACAGGAAAGTGCAGGGTTCTAGCCAAGGGGGGGGGGGGGGGCAGAGCCCCCCCCCCCCTACTCATTTTCCGATTTTCGTGTTTTTTTGCAATTCAACGAAAAATGCAGTCGAAAGTCAGTATTGGACGGTTAAGAAAGGCACACGTGTCTGGGCAAAATCGGGGATTCGACACATACGTTGCATTTAGCGTGGCAGGACAATATTGGAAAGTGGAAAAATGGGATACGGGGTAACTGTTTCCCAAGCCCCCCCCCCCCCCCTTACTATTTTGACCTGGCTAGAACCCTGAAGTGTGAAAGACAGTGCAGAAGAGAGTCAACTTGGAGAAAACAATTCAGCACCGGAACATGAACCCCCTCAAGAACAGTCACACAGTTGCTACGATAATGTGAAGCGGCTTCCTATTCATGCTACAATTTAGTACAAACCCATGCCTGAGCTCATGCATGATCTAACGCCTGGTGTGAGACACACAAAGCAGCTTGGGGAAATCGTGTGGAAGAAATGCTGAGCTTGACATCATGGTCTATACCCCCCCCCCCCCCCCCCACACACACACACGCGCGCGCGTGCGTACTCACTCTCTCATGAACTCCAGCATGTCAGCCTCACGGCGACCATCAAATCCCCATTTGTCCGTTCCGTTCCTGGCAAAAAGAACACACACACACACACAAGCAAGGACGCCACACACGCCACACACAACAACCATGGCAGAGTGTAAGCAAGAAGAAACACACACACAGCTCCTAGAGCAATCATCCGGCACGACATGATGGCACCCTTGGGCTACAACACACAAACGACCGCCTGCAAGACGCTAATGCAGCCACATTACGCCAGCAGTCGACAGGCACATTATGCCAGCAGTCGACAGGCACGAGCATGCAAATCAAGTCCAGCAGTCGTGTAAGGGTAGATTTCACAGAACTGGATCAAGACCGTGCCAAGTGATCAACCACCACCATCACATTACAGACTGACATACACACACACATATTATGTTACACTCAGTATGGCATCACTTCTCTATTTGTCGTCACTGTCTCTATATGTCATCACCTGTTTACTTCGTGCCTATATCAGTATAATTATGGCTTCACTGCGACTTTCTCTATATAACTCCAGGTCATTCTCTATACAACTCCAGACGAGACTTTCCCTATAATTATATCTCCACTAAGGTTGAGACTTTCTCCGTATGACTCCAACTCAGATCACCAACTTCTCCATACAAAACCTGAATTGGAGTCATACGGAGAAAGTCTCAACCCGAGTGGAGATATATAGGGAAAGTCGCGTCTGGAGTTATAATTATAGAGAATGATTTGGAGTTATACAGAGACACAGTGAAGCCATACAGGCACGAAGTAAACAGGTGATGACGTATAGAGGAGTGAACACATAGCTGGTTGACTACTGAGTGCTACATATACACACGCACACACGCACGCGCACACACACACATGCACACACACGGGCAAGACTCACAGGAAGTAGCGGACGGTCGGGTATCCCTTGACGTCAAAGCGCTCGGCCAGGGATTTCTCATCGACGCAGTTGACAGCAGCCATCACACCCTCGGAGCCTTCCTCCTTCAGTGTGGCAGCGGCGGTGACATACTCTGGCTTCATAGCCTTACAGTGTCCACACCCTGGAGTAAAGAACAAGGAAGAGTCGACGAAGGAAAATAAAGAGAACAAGAACGGGATCACACGGCAGCATCACTACACTGTCGTCCTAGGCTGTGTTGCCCTCGCACGGTGCTACAGTCAACGTAGAAACCGGCCACACGTGTACTGCATGTTGCGTACTATAAAACAGGTCATTTTCGGTGCATTAAACTTTAATTTCGATGATTTCGCTAGAAATGCCAGGCACCTAAATTTAGATTACACCTAAATGGCGCAAGAGTATTGTGCTGTATGTGAAGGGAATGTCGGTCACCTAATTCTAAGTTACACCTGAAACCCATCAGACCCCGGACACCGAAGGTTTTATACACCTAAAATTACATATTTTACAGTATGTATGCTTTGAAAGCTTTCACCAGGCATACAAAGCACGTACAGAGTGAACAAGACGACCCACTCGGCTCATACTCAACAAGACAGAACACCAGGGGGAGGACTTCCCTTTGCTAAGAGAGTGCGAGGCCCAACACACGTACCGTAGTACAGTAGACCAACCGCCGAATAAACAAATACATGTAGCGTAAAACCTGCCCTAACCGGACACACCCTTGGTGCAGCGGAAACTGTCCTGATATGACAGGATTCCGTTTGATCCAGGGACGCACGTTCGACATCCAGCACTTTGGTGCATGGAAATTTGTCGGGTCAATACAGGATTGCGCTTGGTACAGGGTCCAGCAAACACTGGTTACAGGTGACCGTAGATCTGAACTCCACTACATAAGTAAGTCACATGCACAGTAAAACCTGTCAAGGCAACCACCTGTCCTAGAAGACCACCTGTCCTAGAAGACCACCTGTCCTGGAAGACCATTGCAACCAGGACCAAGGGATGCTACTTCCAGTCAATTGACCCTGGATAAGGCGACCACCTGGTTACAGAGACCACAGTTTGAAGGTCCCTTGAGCGGTCGTCTTAGACAGGTTGCACTGTACATACATGTACTGTAGTGGACATTGAAATCCGCTGAGAAGCCAAGCGGCCACGGGGCGCTGGCCTAGCAACCGTGAGCACTGCCGGTCGATTTTCCTAGTAAGTGAACTACAGCACATGCACGCCAAGGCAGTAAGGGTGCTGGCACCGGTCACTCCACCGGATTTCCATGTCCACGGCAGTAGATATGAACACCACTAGATACGTGCATGTACACACATGTACAGCTCAACACCACTACTGTAAGTCGACAAATTTTCGGCCCATTCAACTTTCCGCCTCCCAGGGCTAAAACTCATTTCGGCCGCATCAAATATTCGGCCTGTACTGCTGCCGCCTGTATACACTGCCACACTGAACATTGCAAAACAATTTTTCGGCCGCAACAATTTTTCGGCCAAACATGATCAGGCCGAAAATAGCGGAAAAGAAATCTGCGCCGAATATTTGTTGATTTTCCAGTAGATATGTGCATGTACATACATATTGTTGGTTGACAGCATGTTGTCAACCAACAACAAGTTTTCAACAACAAAAAAGGTTTATCTAATATAATGTAGGGCTGAAACGATCATTCAATAACTCCTAACGATCAACCGATATCATTAACGATCGATATATTGGTTTTATCGATTCTTGTCGGCTCTATCGAACACCAGTTTATGAAGAAATCCTATGATGCCTTTGCTGCGTTAGAAATTTGTGGCACCGCACTGTTGACATCTGTAGATATCTGGCTGCTTTTTTCAACATGAATTACTGAAGTAGAACATTTCATGTTGTTTCTGGAGCGAAGAATCTTGTCATCACCCTCTGGTAACTGCTCTCACCTCCGACTTCTCCCAGAAATGAACCGAAAAGGCAAAATCTTCTCTCCCGATCTCTTTCAAAGCCACACATCAATTTTACTGCGCTTGAAAGTACATGATTGCACTCGTATCCACTATCGGATGGAGTGCAAGGGCTAGAATAGTACACAAAGGCACACAATGAAAACCTTGGCAAATTTATTCCGTTGTGACTCCGAGTTTCATGGCTGAACCAATCATCAGACAACGATAATGGAATAGGAGGCAGCGCTGGTATATCTAAGTGGAGAGAGGTGTGATAATACGATAGCGAGAGGAGTAATCCTGCATCTGCCTCTGAAATAGCCCGTCCCTGTATACATTCACGCGATTACTCCTCTCGCTATCGTATTATCACACCTCTCTCCACTTAGATATACCAGCGCTGCCTCCTATTCCATTATCGTTGTCTGATGATTGGTTCAGCCATGAAACTTGGAGTCACAACGGAATAAATTTGCCAAGGTTTTCATTGTGTGCCTTTGTGTACGCCGCTCTGCCTGAATCAGGCATTGAGCACTCTTGCAGAACCAAAGCATATTGCCTCTGGGCTAGAATAGTAGTAATATGTACATACATGTACAGAATATGTACATGTATGTACAGCTGAACACCATTACTAGGCATTAGATCAGTACGTGTACATACATGGAGCGTAGAACATGACAAGCACAGACGGGTGCTCAGCGACAAACTCGTCAAAGTTCTCCGTCTTCAGATGCACAACCTCGCTTTCCTCTGCGCTCCATGGCTTCTCCTCTTCCTTCTCCTCGGCCGGCTTAGGGCTAAAGAGATACGCGTGCACACACACACGCACACACACACGCACACACACACACACACACACAAAAGTACTAATGTGAAGAGATAGAACCGAATCCAATATTCAGACCTGATAAGCTAAGGCCGCAACCACACTACGTAAAAATCACAGTACAAATTTTCATGCATATCTCAGTGCAAGTCGGTACGCAACCACACTACACTTTTCGGTCTGCATAGATGATGTTTTCACGCGACCAGCACGTGACGTTGTCGTACCAAAGCGTGTGCCATGCGCTGGAAAAGACCGGGAAATTCAAAAACAATGCTGGTGCTGATGCTATGTACGATGACCCGGTACAAAAGCAAAGTTGTACACAGGAGAAGGAGCGCGAAAACGACGAAAACGACAAACGTGGCTTTCTACAGGGGTGCGCCAAGTTGCTGAAAACCTACAAAGCGCATTTTGCATTTCGCACGCGTCGGCATGACGATTTCTACTGTAATGCCGTTTGTACGTGATTTTGTACCTAGTGTGGTTGCAGCCTAACACAGTTTCATCTCAATTACATTAGGGAGGTTCCGGAGTACACTTTTTCGTGCCAAATCGTAGAGGCGCTACGGATTTTTTATACGCCGCTTTCGAGCAGCGAAGTGTTCCGGAGTACGAGTACGTACGGAAATTATTTGTTTGCCGTCATTGCCTAGGTTACGGGCGCAAACACGGCATATTCCCACGCTATGCCTTTTTATTAATTTTTGAAAATTTGGAACGAAATCAAAGCTTTACGCGGAGAATCGATGTTTCTCGTACCAAATTTGTACGAGAAAATCTTTTTGATGACGCAAAATCTCCATACGAAACATGGTTCGTATGAAAGCCAGTCCACACGGCTTCTCCGTGCCGAAAAATCTAAAGCACGCCTCGAAAAAATCCGTAGTGCCCATACGTATTTTGGCACGGAAAATCGTACCCCGGAACCCCTCTAATATTTCGAAACTGTTATGGCAGATAGAGATTAAGGGAGGACTTTCATCTTGGTCTTGCCATTTTCTTCCCGGTGGAACAAGGAACTTCCCCCAACAAAGTACAATGATCCACCATTAGTAAGAACCATGGCAGAGCTACAAGCGCAGAGCCCTGTCGCCCGAACTGCAGCAAACCATGTGGCTCGACAGGTCAAGTCAGGCGGCAGAAAGGTTGCTACCCAACAAAAGGGCAAAAGACGCTAGAGGATCTGAGGGCCCAATTCATTTGGAATCTTAGAACTCGTGATGATTCCCTCTGATGATCTGTTCAAAACAGTGAAACCGGTTAGGTTGAACAAAAACAATGGTTGTGCTCTTGAGTCTGAAATTGAACTAGCCTGTGTCGGAGTTTTTCCATACTCCTCCAAAGTCGAAAACGCTTGCCGGCCCACACACGGAAAAGCTGGTCACCGCCATCAAAGCCTGCGGTGTCAGCTGCAGTGTGTGGGAAAAGACGAATGCAGACGGCTCGGGTAGTGACACCTGATGAATTTCCCTGGCTTTCCAATTTCCTGCTTCACCAGTCTCATGGGGCCAGACAAGAAAATCCTGCTCAAGAGTCTGCCCCAGAAGCTGAAGGGAAGCGGCGCACTGAGTGCAAGCACAGAGAACGAAGTTCTGCTCATGAGGACGGTAAGAGTCTTCGATATGGCTCTATGGAATTACAACGCACTCCGCCTGCGGTGTCAGCTTCAGTGTGTGGGAAAGACGAATGCAGACGGCTCGGGTAGTGAGACGCCTAATGGATTTCCCGATTTTCCAATTTCCTGCTTCACCGCCATCAAAGCCTGCGGTGTCAGCTGCAGTGTGTGGGAAAAGACGAATGCAGACGGCTCGGGTAGTGACACCTGATGAATTTCCCTGGCTTTCCAATTTCCTGCTTCACCAGTCTCAGTCGAACCCTTGCCCTAATGAGAAGTCGAATACATTCCCTAAGGTTGATGTCTAATAATTCTGTCCTCGTCCTGTGAGATATATGCTTTACCGACTCTAATAAACTGGTATCTCTGGTGTATGTGGGCCAGACAAGAAAATCCTGCTCAAGAGTCTGCCCCAGAAGCTGAAGGGAAGCGGCGCACTGATACGGCTCTATGCAATTACAACGCACTCTGCCTGCGGTGTCAGCTTCAGTGTGTGGGAAAAGACGAATGCAGACGGCTCGGGTAGTGACACCTGATGAATTTCCCTGGCTTTCCAATTTCCTGCTTCACCAGTCTCATGGGGCCAGACAAGAAAATCCTGCTCAAGAGTCTGCCCCAGAAGCTGAAGGGAAGCGGCGCACTGAGTGCAAGCACAGAGAACGAAGTTCTGCTCATGAGGACGGTAAGAGTCTTCGATATGGCTCTATGGAATTACAACGCACTCCGCCTGCGGTGTCAGCTTCAGTGTGTGGGAAAGACGAATGCAGACGGCTCGGGTAGTGAGACGCCTAATGGATTTCCCGATTTTCCAATTTCCTGCTTCACCAGCCTCATGGGACCAGACAAGAAAATCCTGCTGATGAGTCTGCCCCAGAAGCTGAAGGGAAGCGGCGCACTGAGTGCAAGCACAGAGAACGAAGTTCTGCTCATGAGGACGGTAAGAGTCTTCGATATGGCTCTACGAAATTACAACGCACTCTGCCTGCGGTGTCAGCTTCGGTGTGTGGGAAAAGACGAATGCAGACGGCTCGGGTAGTGACGAATAATGGATTCCCGATTTTCCAATTTCCTGCTTCACCAGCCTCATGGGACCAGACAAGAAAATCCTGCTCAGGAGTCTGTGCCAGAAGCTGAAGGGAAGCGGCGCACTGAGTGCAAGCACAGAGAACGAAGTTCTGCTCATGAGGACGGTACGAGTCTTAGATTCGGCTCTATGGAATTACAATGCACTCTGTCAAGGTGAGAAAAATGGTATACTATTTTCTTGTATTAAATGAGGACATGAGTTCAGCGTGAGATGTTTCAGTGAAAAAGAATACGACTCTAGATGTGCATCCGCTGGTCACATACCCAAGATGAGTCGACATGACACCACCGCAACTTGCAGAGTATATCTGTAGGATTACCAATCTCGTTCTTGATGTGAGAGAAAGGTAACAAAGACTGCCTTGGATGGTGGTTGATGGAGTTGAGGACTATGGAACCATCACCGAGCGTGGCCATGGGGACGGAAAATTGGCCAAAAATTTGAAAATAACGCTCCAAATACTGTAAAACTATGCGCTTTCGATTATAATGTGAAGAAGAGGTTGGTGCGACTTCGGCGATGCTTGGGGAAATGTGTGTTGCTCCCTACGTGGGAGCTTGCGCTTTTCCTGCCGACTTGAATTCTCACTTGACTGACTCACGACTGCCATCCAGATCACACGAGAAGTCCATCGAACCTTCCACTCGGCAAACCTGCAAGAAAGCACCACTCCCTGCTTGAGCAGGGAGCAGGAAGTGGTGCTTTCTTGCAGGTTTGCCGAGTGGAAGGCTCGATGGACTTCTCGTGTCCAAGTGAGAATTCAAGTCGGCAGGAAAAGCACGAGCTCCCACGGAGGGAGCAACACACAATGTTTCAATGATAATAACTTGAAAAAAGGTAAAGTTTGAAACCATAATATTATACACATCGAACATGTTTCGGCGGGAAAAGCTCTTTTTTTCACGTGTTTTTGTGCCATCCAGGGATTCTGCTGGTCTTGTCAAGGGATTGAGATTTGTCTGGTTGGTCAGTACATGTACGAGTGTGTTGGGGACATCAATTGAACCTTTGCTTACTGAGAAAGGTAGACTACTAGTATATGGACAGCAACGACTATGAATATTTCGTTTTCGTGGCCTATCCCAGTGTGTGCAATTTGCAGACGTTCGAGGATATCTTTAATATCTATGCCATATTGGGTAAAGAAGAATTCACCGACGGCAAGATAACTCAACTAGAAAAAGAGGTACAGGTGTGACAGGAGGGTCACAGACACACACACACAATCATAAAAAAACGGGTACCAGCGAATCAAAGAGAACGGACCAAAAGAGGCGAACAGCCGCTCCAAAGCTGTTTTCACTGGACCAGGAGGTCTCTAGCGCCGCCGCCGCCTGCCTCTACGGTCATGTCCAACTACGGGTAGGAACACCTTCGCCTTTCCTCATTCAATGCCAACAGTAGCAAATTCACACATACACAGTACTGTAAAAGCTAACATTTTCGGTGGTGTAATATTTTCGGTATTCTCCAAAATCGGCGGTTCGGTGGAGGGAAATTTTCGGTAAACCAGGTAAGTGCATTAGCAAGAGTCCATAAACAAGAGTATGCAACTGTGATCTCTTTTCTATGGGCCAGATGCGCGGCGCGCTGCCTTCATTACATCATTCAGCTGCAGTCCGCGCACTGCGGAAAATCAAACACCGCACTTTCCCTCTAGTTTGAAATGAACTTTCGTACGGAACTGGAGTTCACGCGCCAGAATTCAGAGATTGTGTAGGTACTGGAACGAATCGAGCAAAAACGGATGGGCTCGTGCGAGAAATTGAGAGTTTGAATGCATGCTTTCAGAGCGTGATGAAGACAAGTTACGTAATGAAGGCAGCGCGCCGCGCACTGACCCATAACCACAGTTGCATACTCTTGTTTATGCACTCTTGGTATTAGTACTAGGACCGAAATTTTCGGTGCGTTTTATTTTCGGTAAAAATTTCGGCATCGACGTTACTGAAAATAAAACGCCACCGAAAATTTCTGCTTTTACAGTAGGCTAATCCTCTGCTCACACAATGCTCAATGCCGCAAAAAGGGCAGAGCATTGCCTGATGATCGCACAAGCATGAAGCTTGAGGTGCAGCAAAACAGCCCTGTATTAATACACCGTATTTGCAAATTAACACAGCTTCCAATCGTAGGCGAGAAAGGTAATGTTAATGTGACACAGCTACAGAAAAGCAGAGCAGTGGTGGGTCACGTGTGTGTGCGACTGCGTGTGTGTGTGTGTGTGTGTGTGTGTGTGAGTGTGAGTGTGTGTGCGTGTGTGCGTCGTTTAATGACTCGCGCTTACTCTTTCATCCAGGCGATGATTCCGTCCTTGTTGCGCTCACCGCCATAGGGCATAGGCTGCTCGCCACTCCTGAATGAAAACAAATATACATGCAGAGAAGCATGTATATACACACACACACACACACACACACACACACACACACACGCACACACACACACACGCACATCATTAACACCAGCGCCTAGTACTATCAACCCATGCTTCAAGATTGCAAGGGGACAAGAACACACCTGCCTCAACAACAGCAACACATTACAGGGGCGTAGCAGCCGGTCCGGCTTTGGCCAGGCCACTTTTTTTTTTACCACAATGCCAAAAGTGCCCAGAATGCAGGACTTTGCACCCTGATTTCAAATTTTTCCTGATATGGCGGGGTCACATGACCCCTGAGCAGTAAACATGCGTTGGTGGTCAAACAGTTGCCAGTCCGGCCGTTGCCTGAGCAACCGTACAGGTTACACCGCCCCTGCCAGCGGCGGATCCAGCGATCTCTACAGGGTGGGGGGGGGGGGGGCAGTATACTAGTAGTCAAAACTGAATAGCTGATACATGTACATGGACACGCACATGGTTGCCAGTGGTACTTTTTCTTAACGAAATTTAGGGGGTTACGTGGAACCCCTAATTGAGGGGGTTACGTGGAACCCCTGGAAGCCCTCCTGGATCCGCTCCTGCCTGCCGTGTAGTTACAATACCCACGACAAAAATCATGCATTGGACTCAGCACACACTACGGCATTCAATTCAGATGTAAAGTGTGCAAGCAGAATCGTTCCAGGCTCATGATCCTAGATAGCCACTTCTTTCTGGAATGGCCGGGCCCCGTGAAAAAAAAAACAAGCTCTGAAACCCTTACTTGAAGTAGAGCAGTGTTGGACAACCAGTTCTTTCTGGAACCCCCCAACCCCACCGTCCCCCGTGGATAAAGCTCAAGCTCTGAAACACTTACTTGAAGTAGAGCAGTGTTGGAAACTAGTTCTTTCTGGAACGCCCCCCCCCCCCCCCCCCTGGATAAAGCTCAAGCTCTGAAACACTTACTTGAAGTAGAGAAGTGTTGGAAAACCGGTGATGTTAAACATTTGCCTGATGCCATACGCTTCCTCCAGGTCAATGTCCATCGCACCCAGCACTGCAGTCTTCTTGAGTACGGTTGCAGCCTGTGCATAGTCTGGCTTCAATTTCTTGCAGAATCCACACCCTGCAGCAGCAGCAACGGTGACGACAATAGCACAGCGTGGGAAATACTGATCAGCGTTCTGTACGGTGGGTGCCGTGTGCGTGCGTGTGTGTGTGTGTGTGTGTGTGTGTGTGTGTGTGTGTGTGTGTGTGTGTGTGCATGTGTGTGCATGTGTGTGCGTGTGTGTGTGTGTGTGTGTGTGTGTGTGTGTGTGTGTGTACGTGTGTGTGTGTGTGTGTGTGTGTGTGTGTGTGTGTGTGTGTGTGTGTGTGCGTGCGTGTGTGTGCGTGGTGACTACATGTATCATGTAGTTATGTGCGAGTGTGTGCGCCGTGTTAGTTACACTATGTTCATTGATCATCCTGGCTAATCGTACCTATCCGTTGTTAGCCAACGAAGCACTATGTCCAGGTATGAATTTACTGCCATGTTTTTGCATAGCAGTTTTTCCTATGCAAAATCTCAATTGTGGCGTAAGCTACAAAAAGCATGGATAGTCTGCACATGTATGTATCGCAGTTCTCTGCGTGTCACTATAATTGTTGAGTAGCAGTAGATCGATTTTGCGTAGCAAACTGCGATGCGATACCGGATAAATTCATCCCTGATGTCACATGCGCTTTGAACAGAACAACTGTGCTGACTTCAATTCTTGAGGTCAGTGCACTCAAAAGTCAAAACCCAACGCTCTGGCTGCGTGGACATGAGCCCGGGTCGAGGTCAACCTGGGTTGAAAGTGTGCAAAGTGGAAAACCTAGTTACCAGCAGAACATGCAGGTGTTTACATGAAGATTGTCGACCCGGGCTGACACTGATATGCCGGCAAAGGTCCATTTCTCTTTACTGGCAGGGTCGTGTGACAACGTTCGCGGGGGAATGCTAATTCCCATCTGCAACGCTGTGATTGCAATCCTGGTGCAGCGAGGTACGCACATGAGTGCGGTAGTACGATTTATCGATTTCAACCCAGATCAAACGCAGTGCGTCATGTAAGTGCTCCAGTCAATCTGTGTTTGTGGCGGATTGAAACTCGACCCGGGTCGAAAACTCTCATGCAAGCACAGTAAGCGCAGCCTATGCCTGCAATGCTCAGGCCGTGACAAATCCGTCCATTTGCAGACGTTGAAATTCACCAAAACATTGCAGCAATACATCAGATGGGGGTCACGCTGACTGGCTAGAAGTGAAATTCACTACGAGTACTACTGCACCGCAGTGAGATACACAACAGAGTGAATGCACGTACACACGTACACACACGCGCATGCACGCACACACACACGCGTACACACACACGTACACACACACACACACACACACACACATCGGCCAACGTGCAGTACTCACATGGTACGTAAAACATAAATAGGATAGGCTTTGTCTCTTTCTGAATCAACTTTTGGAAA